CCTTTCTATACCATTTAGCTATGTATAATTTATTAATGATTACTACTTAACCTTCTAATTTTTATAACTGGCAAAATCCCATATGACATTTGTAATACTTATTTTATAGTTAATATACACTAAGCAGAATTCTATCTTGTTTATTAGTTTCGAGATCCTTTTCACTGAAAATCTGCAATTCAACCTAACCAATCTATCTGCCATGACTACTACTATCATTAGTTACTCTTATTTTAGAAGGTGTGTTAGTAATTCCTTTGATATTTTTCAAGCCTGCCCAGCTGTAAGATTGATTAGTTAATTTCCACCAATCAATAGTATTTTATCTAGGTTTATTAGTTATTTTTGCTTCTTCGGCTTATTTAACAGAATTCAAAAGAGAATGAAAAGAATCAAATAGATAATATACATCTGTTTCCTAATTTAAAATATCAAGATAATTTGTTATCTATTGTTTATCATTAGTAATATCCATGATATGAAATTATTTCAAGTATTGCAATTATTATAATGATCTAGGAACTGAATTGTTTCTACTTTCATACATTTATTTATTTTTATATATGTTTTAAATAATAATTCTCACTCAAAATTTGACATCATTCTTTAATAACTTTGTAGTAAACTTTATTGTATATGCCATATTACTTATAATTATCATATTTCCTTACATTAACACTTAAGGACTTCTTATGTTATAAAAATGATATTATTATAAATTATTATTGAATATGGTATCATCAATTTTAACTCTTTATCAATTTACTAATGATATGATAAATAATGAAACTTATTCCATTTTCAATTTTAAGATTAATTTTCTATATTTAATCTCATCTTTGATAAATAGTAGAATTTGATTGATTTTTTTAAGTAATTCTATTGGATGATGCTTACTTAATGGATTGATGTAAATAATAATGCTGATTTCTAAGTCATCAAAAGATATTTAATTAATTAATGAGTGATTCGAAAGGATTTCTGCATTGGCTTTTCTTTAAGAAATGGCATCCAGTACCTTCAGTTGGAAGTACAATAGCATTGTTTTCAATAATTGGTGTGATTTTTGTAGCTTTGGGAATAGTGATAACAGTGATCAATAATCACATATAGGAAGTAACCATTTACAAATATGATCAAAAATGTTCACCTGTTGAATATAATAAGAAATGTAGTTTTATTCAGAAATTGGATAACATGAAAGCACCTATTTATTTTTATTATGAACTTGAGAATTTTTATCAAAATCATAGACGGTATGTGAAATCAAAATCATCAACTTAATTATCAGGAGAAGAAATTTCACTTTCAGATGCAGAGAAATATTGTGACCCCATCATTTACAATAAGGATCTGGAAGTATGGTAATAGGATGTATATATAACAGAACAAAATATTCCTGTTCCAACAGAACGTAAACCAGATGATATTGCCAGTCCTTGTGGATTAGTGGCAAAGAGTTTCTTTAATGATACTTATGCATTAAGTTTATCAGGGAAAAATATAGCTTTAAATTAAACTGGAATCAGTTGGCCTAATGATAAAGGTAAAAAATATAAAAGAGCACCTAATTCTGAGAGTACTTAATGGATTGACCCTGAAAATGAACATTTCATTGTTTGGATGAGAACTGCAGGATTGCCTACATTTAGAAAATTATGGGGACGCATAGAATAAGATATAGAAGAAGGAGATTACACATTCGAATTTTAAAATAATTACAATCCTTAAATGTTTGCAGGAGCTAAGAATATTGTACTTTCTACATCAGGACCATTTGGTGGAAAGAATTTATTTCTTTCAATTGCCTTCATTGTTGTAGGTGTAATTTAATTGTTGATAGCTTTGGCATTTTTAATTAAAAAAATAAGAGCTGGAAATTCATTTGGTTAAAAAAATGAATGATTGATTGATTTGGATGATTATAATCAAATAAATATTATATATTAATTTTAATGCAATATTGTTCAAAACACAAAGATTAATAAATTGATTTGATTTGTTTAGAATCAGCATGCAAATCACATTTAGCTTGTGTTTAATGTATAATTGAAGATCATTCTGATCATCCAGAATAATGTCTATTTATAGATGATATTTTAAATGTAATTAATATAATACATTCTATAGAATAACATTAAATTGGAAAACTCTAAAGTGATTGATTTTGTTACAAAACTTAGAAGTAAATAAGATTTGGCTAGTGTTGTGGATAGAGAATTTGTTTAAATATAAAATGATATATTGTTGAAATTTGACACCTTTTAGTATTAATTATATATCAAATTAATTTAGAGAAGACTTACAAGTTTATTATAATTAATTGACACCTAAAGAAATACAATAAAAAGAGATAGAATTTTTTGATTTACTTAAAAATGTTACAAATTGTCAAGAAATAGTAAGATTGTATTAATCATATTAAAATGGTGATATAAACAAAGTAAAATTAAATTAAGAATTAAATGCTATAATTAATAAACCTGAAATTGAATAGAGCAAATAATAAATATTTACAATATATAAATGTTTATTGTAACAAAGCTTAAAGTTGTAGAAAAAAGACTTAAATGTATTTTCATATAATTATTATAGTAAATATAAAATGATATATTGGAAACACTTTAAGAGATACCTAAATTATTATCTTTAGAGAAATCAATTTAATTTTATAGTTTATAGGGTAATAAAAGTACTATCGAAAATGGAAATATCATAACAATAACATCATAAGATTAATAAGTAGTAATTGTTTCATAAAATACATTCTCCTATCCAAATAAATATTAATTTACTATTTAAATTGAACAATATGATACTAGTTAAAATTAATAATTACAAGTTGGATTTGCTCATCATTCTAAATTAATGAATTATAATTATTTCTATAGATAAAATAGTAGTGCCTATTTTGGATTAAGTAATACTGGTAGAATCAATTTCTCTGTTTAAAAACCAGAAGGAAAGATTATAGGAGAATCTGTGAGATAGTAAATATTCATAATATATTTTAGAGCTTTAAAAGAAAAAAGACCAGTTCATATTACATTATCTTTAGATATTTAAAATAAATAATGTTTATTATAATATGAGGATATTAAAATAGAATACAGCAAAAAGAAGTGTTCAAAATAAGGATTTGGAGGAGAAACTGGTGCTGAATAATTCTTTTAAAAAAATAAGAAATTTGTATTGTTTTTTATTGGAAATTTGGCAGATATGAAATGCAAAGTGGTTTGAATATAATAATAATAAAATATGGCATGAATTTATTTATATGTTCATTTAAAGTTCTCAGAATACCATTTTTTAGTGAATTCATCACAATCCAATAATTAAAATTTCCATCCATTTATTTAAACTTCATTCCCTACAATTAAATCTCCTGGAGTAAAGAATTCATTATTATTATTTACATTCTTATACTTTTTTTTTTCCAAAAATTTACCATCAGGAATACCTAAATTACATATATTTATAGATACCTGAATTTCTAACAGTCGGTTCATAGATCAAAAGACTATCGTCATTTAAAAAGAATGTGATAACAAAGACTCTGTCCTTATCTTCAGGTTTAGTAGTATTGAACATAGCCAAGAATCTGAGATTGACTTGATTATCAACCCATTTGAAGAAATCCTTCTTGGGAGGCTTAGGCTATAATCTATAGATATATCCAAGAGAATCTTGTTCATCACCAATTCCATTATGTGGTGGGATTATAATATCTAAAGTATTTATATATTATAAAATACTTGATCTTTCTTAATGAACATATTCTTCTTGACCACCTAAAGGGAAATCAACATTGAATTTTTCTTAATAATATTATCTTGTAAATTGATCACATCCATTGATGAGAACTTTGCGATTATAGATAATAAGAGGTTATCCATATTAAATATCTTATGGTCTAATGAAATCCTCAGCATATGTTTATCCAGGTTAATTGAGTGAGAATTTTCTTGGTAATTTTTACCTTCTCAACATCATAGGGAATGGAACTCTTCCTGAATTGGCTGAATTGATTTCTTTGATTTCTATAGTGTCATCAGCCAAATAATAGTGAAGAATATAATCAATATCTGAAAATACATAAAATTTAAGGACCTAATAATTATATGTTAAATTGATACTTTTCTATCGTTTTCCAAAAATTACTTTTAAGAAGTAACTTTACCACCTCCTAATTTATGTTCTAAGTAATCTTTCATCACAGTATCTTTTTGAGGAATGAATTTAGTTGTAGTTTTAGTTTCAAAAGAATCTTATTATGGTACAAATGATTATTCTTATGGTATTCCTTATAACTAGAGATATAGAATTTAAGTTATACTTCATAGAACTCTCTAGTGTATTAATCACAATCATATAGACGAATAGTCTTACCAAAGATAATGATATCTTAGTTGATTCTGAAATCTTCAGGGAGTATAAAAGTCTTTGAATTATCTGCTCTTAATACCTAATATAGATAAAATAGAATACTTTTTATCTTTTAAGAAATGCTCCTTATGGAACACCACTATTTTCTTATTTAGGTTCAGTTATACTAAGTGAATGGTCTTCAAGATAATAAAAGATTGTAATCTTGCGAATACGATAATTTTCAAGTGCAGATTCAACTACTGCTTCTTTAAAGTAACCACTGAATCTTAGAACATGTCTATCCATTTTAACCCAACTTGGTTAATATAATTCTTCTGAATCATTGTTGGAATTCTATGATGTAACTGTTATTTTACTTTAGGTAGATGCATTGCATGAGTTGTACTCATATAATCAGGATTGAACATTCCTGTTTATGGTGGTATTTGAATTGGTTATTTACGAGGTACAGCATATTCTTTATTAGATAAATGATTGATTTCTCTATTTTATTCTTGTTTGGTTGATGAGACTTTTCTAAAGTTTGGTTTCTAGTTAATATTATGTATGTGTTACATCTATTTCTTAAGTGGGAACAAAACCTGGTAATTTAGGGAAAGCTGATGCCATTTAATTAATATATTATTATTCATTCTGATAATTCATCAGTTGGATTCTCTCTATCAGATGGAGTGTTATTGTCCATAGAATCTTCTTTAGTCTAAGTATAATTGGTCTTATTCTGCTCAATTAGATTAGATACTTGAATATCTGAGTCTTCTGGTTCAGGTTCCTCTTAAACTGTTTAATTTTATTTTGGAATACAAATCTATATTGTTGGTTTTTCAGCCTCCTCAAATATTGCAGATAACTTAGAAATATTATTAATAAATTACCTATTGGATAGACTTTTAGATCTTCATACTTGGGAAATATAATCCATACATAATATTTTTATAATCTCTAGCTTTCCAAAGTAAGAATTCAAAATTTTCTTTATTATTCTTAAAATATTCCCCAACATAATTAACTTATGTTGCTAAATTTGCAAGTATTGCTATCATGCAAAAACTATAATTTTTATCTATGTCATATTATGACTTAATAGCATTCAATATTGAATAACCCTTAACAAATGATATTGTCTTTATAGGTTCGCATAATAAACATTACAAACGTTTTTCTACTAAATCATCATTTATTTTGAACAACGACTCAATAGTCTATGAAAAAGGTTCCAATTATTACCAATCAACATTATAATCCAAGAATTAAGTTACTATTTATAACATTACTTGATAACTGATATTCTAATCCTTCCAACAAATGTGTTTAATCATATCTATTAAATTAGGTTGGAATTATATCATAACTAAGATATACTTTTTGAAATCATCACTATCCAATAATTTCTTTAACCAATACTAATCAATATCCAAATCTTTTTATCCTTTGAATAAATATGTTGGAGCATCTTCATTTAATTCAATCATACTTTATGTTCTACAACTCATTATCACTTTAGCAATAATATCACTAATAACCATCAATGGCTAATCAATATTATTAGTTTATTATTATTGTGATTTAAATGATGTACCAATTTATGCTGATGTAACTTATTCTTATAATAATTAATAAACTTATTTAAAGTATTCTTGTTAATAGAAGTGTTTCACTAAGAGTTGATTACTAACTAAAATATATTTAATAACTTAAAAATATTCTGTTCCTCTTCTGAGAGAATTTTTTACTATTCCTAAAAGAGATTATATGTAGAATTTAAGGAATCTACCTATACATGAATCTTCAAATAAATAATATTATTCATGTTTTATAATTAAAGTTACTGATTGAATAATCAATTATGCAAAAGCATTTCTAACATCAGAATGTGAAGATTCTATTAATAAATCAATTATTATTTATTTATGATTTCTTAATAAATCTAAAAACCAGAAATTAGCAGCAGGTTCTTATTTGTACATATCAGTTAATAACTAAATATTATATTAAAACATCTATTAATCTTTATTCCTAAGTAAAACTTCATAAGTAAAGAAAGTAAATAATTTAATCATTCTAAATGAAGGAAGAGTATCTAATTCACTTAAATTACTTTCATTTGATAATAATTAAGTAACTAAAAATGGAGTTTTGAATTAAAATGTTTATACAAATGTTTGAATGAATTTCAAGTAATCTTAAGTACAAAATAACTAATTCTTTAAATAATCAGAATTCTCATTTTTTACTTATTAAATTAATAATTCCTCATTTATACCTCTCATATATAATTATTCAGGAATATCATGTTTGACTTTCTCATAGAATAAAATATAAGCATTCTTACTATTACTCATTCCCCATTCTGAAAGATTATTATTACCTCCTCCAAAACATTCATTTTTTAGATTCTCTATTTTAAATGGACAAATCACTTTATCATTAAACTCATACCATTTATCAACATCTCGAATAAATGAATAATAATGTCCTCCTTCTGCACTACCAACATGTACTAATACTCCTTTAAGTATGTACATATAATCACTTTAATCTTAAATTTCCATATTTTCAACTATATGATCACGTGTCCATTTAAACATATTGATTTCTTAAGGGAATTCAAAATAATCATTTATTTTAATTCTCAACATTGTATTGTAATCAAATTCAAATCTTTTTAGATGGAAAATGAATGTATTAGGTAATTTCTTAAAATATTATCTCTTTTAAACATCTATCTTTCTTTATACTTCTTCACATAAATATTTATTCTCTCCATCTAAAACATCTCCTTTAACAAATAAATCTAATGCTTCTTCAAGACATTTCTTATGTTTAATATCTACTGAAACAGTTAAAAATGGTTCTTCATTTTCTCTTCTAAAATCATAATCAGGTTCTAATGATTTAATTTCATTTATTAATGTACCACCTAATATTTAAGGTATTAGATTTGATTAATTAGTAAATTTCTAATCCTATTCTAATTTATCAGTTATTAAATTAAANCTTAAAAGTATTCAGTTCCTCTTCTAAGAGTATTTTTTACTATTCCTAAAAGTGATTTTATATAGAATTAAAGGAATCTACCTATACATGAATCTTCAAATAAATATTATTGTTCATATTCTATAATTATAGTTATTGATTGAATAATCAATTATGCAAAGGCATTTCTAACATCTGAATATGAAGATTCTATCAATAAATCAATAATTAATTATTTTTGATTTCTTAATAAATCTAAAAACCAGAAATTAGCAGCTGGTTCTTATTTGTACATATCACTTAATATCTAAATATTATATTAAAACATCTATTAATCTTTATTCCTAAGTAATACTTCATAAGTGAAGAAAGTTAATAATTTAATCATTCTCAAAGATGGAAGAGTATCCAATTCATATAAATTACTTTCTTTAGATAATAATTGAGTCACTTTAAATTGATTTTTGATTTACAATGTTTATACAAATGTTTAAATGAATTTCAAGTAATCTTGAGCACAAAATAATTAATTCTTCAAATAATCAGTATTTTCACTTATTACTTATTAAATCAATAATTCCTCATTTGTACCTCTCATATATAATTATTCAGGAATATTATGTTTTACTTTCTCATAGAATAAAATATAAGCATTTTTACTATTACTTATTCCCCATTCTGATAAATTATTATTACCTCCTCCAAAACATTCAGTTTTTAAATTCTCTATTTTAAATGGACAAATAACTTTATCATTAAACTCATACCATTTATCAACATCTCGAATAAATGAATAATAATGTCCTCCTTCTGCACCACCAACATGTACTAATACTCCTTTAAGTATGTACATATAATCACTTTAATCTTAAATTTCCATATTTTCAACTATATGATCACGTGTCCATTTAAACATATTTATTTCTTAAGGGAATTCAAAATAATCATTTATTTTAATTCTTAACATTGTATTGTAATCAAATTCAAATCTTTTTAGATGGAAAATGAATGTATTAGGTAATTTCTTAAAATATTATCTCTTTTAAACATCTATCTTTCTTTATACTTCTTCACATAAATATTTATTCTCTCCATCTAAAACATCTCCTTTAACAAATAAATCTAATGCTTCTTCAAGACATTTCTTATGTTTAATATCTACTGAAACAGTTAAAAATGGTTCTTCATTTTCTCTTCTAAAATCATAATCAGGTTCTAATGATTTAATTTCATTTATTAATGTACCACCTAATATTTAAGGTATTAGATTTGATTAATTAGTAAATTTCTAATCCTATTCTAATTTATCAGTTATTAAATTAAAGAATTCATTACAATCCTATTAAATAAGAACATTTATAACTTCTCCATCATATCCCTTTAAAGTTTTAATCAATTAATGTGGATTAATATATTATTTCACAGATTCTTAGAGTTGAATGAATACTAATTATAATTAATGTAAAGTATGATCTGTCAATTTACGTTGTAAAATAGGTGAATCAATAGCATTAATATTATCAAAGATGAGAGGAGCTTTCATCTCAGTAATCATGATCTACCCATTCAAAATCCCTTTTCTTAAAGGTATATTCATATAGAATTATTGTAATAGAGAATTAATATAACAAGTAGCTCCAAGATTTCTTAATCCAACAAAACCATGTGAACCTTTAACTCCCAAATCCATATCTACTTCATTTATATCAAACTTCAATTTGTGATGATTTTAAATCAAAGGTAAGATCTCTTATAAATGGTTTTCATCTTTACATAATTCTAATAATAATTAGAATACTCTCTTTCTAGTTAATTTTCTTTTATAAACAGGATATTTATAATAATCATTATGCATTTCAAATAAACATTTATATAAGTATCTTGTGAATTCAATATCTACTTTAATGTTTTAATCAACCTATAATAAAGAAGTCAATAATAATAGATTGCCTTACAATAATTTATCTTCATTTTCAATAAATCTTTATTCAATAATTTCTCTATTTGAAATTAATGATATAATCTATTAAGCCAATTAATGAGTATCAAAGAATGTTAAATCATTCACTTAACCAATCAATCCAGCAATCACTAGATATAATTCATCATATTAAGTTTCTCCTTTTATTAATGCCTTTAAAATATCATTACTTAAATTAACACCATTCTTCTTTCCAATATCTTAAAGAGTAAGAATGAAATAAGCTGTCATTTTTCGTTATTCCTCATTTGGACTAGTTAATAATTCAACTAATCTATTAATTGGCAATTCAAATTTCAGTAATTAAGGTCTCATATATAAGATACATAAGATATTTGTGTATACTTATTCAACTCCTATTCTTTAGATGAGAGCATCTAATAATACATCCCATTCTACTTCTAATTCACAATTATAGAAAACCTATTATAGTAAATATGCTTCATCATATCCTTAAATATTTGGTTTATCTTATTTCTATAATTATATACTCAATAGACTACATAATTTAGGATCTTCATCTTTCTATTATATAGCTTACTTCAATTTTAATAGTTATAAGAATTCATTTTAATTCATCATTAATCTACTCATTGAATAAGCAGAAAAGTAAATTTAGAATATATCTAAAATTATGATAAAGATTTCAATTGAATTGTCTAATTAAAATAATAGTAATTTTAAACCACCTTAAAGTAGGAAGTTTTCTCTTAATTTCTTACGCTTTTCATATTCATCTTAATCTTCAATAAAATCACATTATAATTATTCTTTAAGAATTTATAAATGATATTATAATTTATATTTGTTATCTACTAACAATAGATTACACCAATCTGTTTATGATTATTCAATTAATTCATATACTTCTTTATTTCTAGGAATCATTTATAAGATAGACCAAATCTTAGTATTTTATTCTTGATTTCCTTAATTAAGTAGAATGAATAATTGATCAATATAATTATTTGAGATTAATGAAGCAAATGAAATCTCATCAATTTATTGTTTCATTACAGGTTATTATTTCTTAATCTATGGATTCTTTTATTAGTATTCTGAAAGTAATTGATCTCCACGATCCAAAATATCACATATAGCATTTTCTACTTGCCAATTCTTTTCTTTCAATACAGAAATAATAAAATCTTTTTCTTATATTTAAACTATTTGCATAATCTCTTAAACTCTATCATTTGCATCAGATGGTACATATTCATTTTATATCTAATTGGTTGTATTATTATATGCATTAATTTCATCTGTTGCAATCTCTCTTTTTGATATTACAAATGTCAATTTTTAATTAACTTTGTAATCTTTAAGTGTTTTATTATCATCAAATAGAGTTCCTCTACAAAATATATCAAATTCATCTGGTTTCAAAGATGGATTTAATTTCTATCCAATTATTTATTTAGCTTATAATACAGGTAATCCACTCAATAATTGAATATCTTATCTTTTTGGAGGCATAGCATTCATACATTTATTATCAATTGTTACAAATACCTTTTCCCCTTATTCAATCAATTAATATCCTTCAAAATCTTCTAATAATTTGATTATTAATGATAGAGAATTAGGATTATTAATTTAATTGAATAATTATACTAAATATAATTATTTTAATTTATTTAAAATACTCTATTATTATTTAAATCTTAATAGTCTAATAAAGAATTCTTATAATTTAGGTCCCAAATTCTCTTATTATTTAAATATCTTCCATAATACTTACAATCCAATAATATCTGCATCCATAATTGTATATTAATCATATTACAATTTCATTACTTTATATTGAACATTAAAATATAGAATAAGATTTGTTAAACATTATAACATTGATTAACTAAGAGATGAACATTTAATAGTTGATATAAATAATAACTCTATAGCCTCTTAATCTAAAAACTTCTTATTAACATCTCCTACCCAATTAAAAAATAGATCTCTTTCTTCTACACATTTTGCATTCTCTACTAATAATTTCCATAATATCATTAATTAATTTCTTGTGATTTTTGAATCTTAATGAAGAAATTGATAAAATTTAACAAATTATTCAATTGTTTATAAATAATTCTTACTTTCCCTTTTAAGTAATCTTAATTTTTCTCTTCCCATAACTCTTAAAAAATTTAATTTAATATCATATTTTTCTTAGATCCATATTAATACATCTTTAGAATTATTAAATTTATCAAATGGATAAGATGATGAGATAATCTTCTATAACACAGTTATGTAATTACAAACTGGTAATGGTTACTCTTCTGCAATCAAATTAGAAAAACCATTTAATAAATATTATTATCTAAGTGATTTGAATTGATGACATATCAAATTGATAGCTATTGTAAATGCTGATTAACCAATTTCACTAGTTGGTTATTCATGAACAATATTTAATAAGAATTCAACAATTTAAGATTTTAAATTTATAGCCTTCTATCTATCAAATTATTCAATAGTTTCATTTTTATTTTATTCCATATCTTCCATTTCTCTATCATTAGTTTCATATTATTAATACTTTCTTTTACCACTCATTCTCTCATTCTATTTTCCAAAAGTATCATCATTATTTCCAATTTTTTAATTTTAATTATTATCTAAATCTTATCTTAAATATTTGTTTCTACCCAAACTTTTAATAAAATTAAGTCCATTTTAATCAATCTAACTTTATTATATATTTTATATTAATGTTTCAACATCTTCTAATGATAAGATTTCTGCTAAATCTGTAAGTAATTTAGATATCATATTATCCCATGTTTCATGTTTACCTTTTCCTAATCTGAGAATACACAAGATTTCATCTTTACTTAATTTATGATGTAAATATAGAAATTGAATAATTGGAAAACTTCTCTTAATCAATTCAAAATGAGCTTTTTCTCCAAATAACTCTTAAAATACTTAATTATCTACAATGTATTTTAATACATTATCATTTTTATACCATTCATCATACATAAAATATTATTGACTCATAAATTCATTTGATTATGCAGTATTTATTTTATCACAAAATTATTATAATCCTTAAAGTTATATAATAATTTAATACCATAAATTCTCTTTTCCAAGGCTGTGCAACGAAAACATTATAAAAATACACTCATTTCAGATAAAGCAATCAACTCTTTCTTCTAAGAAGAAGTATAAAATTAATCAAACATATTCTCAATTCCTTCAGTCAACTTTTTAATTGTATCTCTATTAGAATTCTTAATTTCATCTTCTGTTAATTTTTATGCCAAATTCTAAAATTCAAAATGATGGAAATAATTCAAATATTTTTATTTATCTAAAAGTGAATTGAGATATTAAAATATTGGAAAGATATCTAAATTATTTAGATTAAAATTTCTAATAGCATCATCCAATAGAGCAAAACCACCATTTTTATAGAAATAGTGTAATTGTATTCTTTAAAATGGAGAAAAAGTGAATACATCCTAATTCATTCTTTATTATTCTAAAATCTCTCCCTTTAGTGGATAAAAGTTCTTGGAATTGTAAATCTCTGTTTAATAGGGATTATTATAGCCTTCAGCTTCATAACTAACACCATAATGTAATCGTTCACCATAGAAATCATTTATAGTGTCTATATACAGACTTAATTCTCTAATTCTACTATCATAGAAAGAATTGCATTGGATGGAATGCAAGCGTTTTAATAGTGTCAAAGAAATCTGAGGATATTCTTTCCAAAGCTTAAGAGACACCTTTTAAACTAGAAGAAGGATTTCATTAATGTAACACTAGATCTTTAATTTGTAGGTCTCAATTAGACTAGTTAGAAAGAAGGTCAATACACTTTATCGAGAGTAACATCTATCATTGGTGAGAGACGCTTGTTAACATATTGATTTAGATCAGGAACAATGAGTGCTCTATCTAAGAGAATGGCTTTTAACTCAATCTCTAGTTCAGACAAGTATTCCATCCATTTGATCGAGGTAACTTAATTTAGATGTGACAACTACATGTATGCAATTGGGAAGCCTTGCCCTGATGCAATGCATCATTTAATTCTATTATTTCATATCCTTCCTCAAACTTCTTAATTTTCTCCAAATCATAATAAATTTCACTATTTGTAGACATTTTGATGTATCTCCTTGGCTACTATGAATTATATCCTTAATTTTCTGCATAGCATGTCTGACTTAATTGATACATAATATAATTTAATATTACTTCAGATTTTCATATTATGAAATTTTAAACTACACTTTTATATACTAATCCATTGATCAATTATAATTACAATATACTTATACGTAATTTAAATAATGATCTTCTAAGTAATCTTAATTAAGTAAATACATTCCAATTTATATGAATACATTAATTTATTTTTTACTTATCCTTCAGTCTTATGGGGATTTGCAATTCAAATAGAACAATATAAGATCTTAAAGATACTACACTCAATTCGGAACTACAATCAAGTTATAAATCTTCCATTTAAGAAATGAAATCTATTTATCTTGATGCTGACTAATTGTTTTTAGATGAACTATCTGATGATGTTAATCAGATAGCTTATGAAAAAGAAAAACGTACTTTTGTACAAAGAGAAGTCCCTATACAATTACTTTCGGAAAAACCTTTAAAAACTTATAAACTAGTTTTTGATTCCTTATTTCATATGTATCGAAAAGTTCCTATTCTTTCATCTAATGAAAACTCAATAATTCAAAAAAGGAAAATGATATAACAGTCATGAATTTATACATTTTCAAATTAATTTAGTCATACAGAAAGATTATTATTTAAGTATAATAATAATATTGTATTATAATGTTTGAAAAAAGAGATAATTTATGTTCTCTTACATATACTTGTATGATAACAGTCTGTTATTTGGGAGTTATAGGATTATGCCGAACAGTGTTATTCTCAAATATTCTAAAGATAGATGACAAAGTAATAAACTCAGTTTCATTGGGCATATTCAGTCTAGTCTTTTTGCTAGGCCCTTTTTCATTGCCATTCTTTTAAAAGATGATTATGAAATTCACCTATAAGTATTTAATAATATTTGATTCAGAGCAGTATTTTTTATAACCAGTGTAGCCAATATCTTTAGCATGACTTTGTACATTGTTGTAATTGAATAACAACCAAAAGATGTTTATTTAATTGCAACAATCTTAATATTTGAAGCAATATCAGCTCCATTTATGGCTATATTTTATTGCACATTTAATTATTATATTCGTAGTTTGTCTAATAAGAATAATGTTGGTATTTATTTTGGAGTTGCTTATTCATTATTTTGTATGTAAAATCTTATAGGAGATATTTATGTGATATTTGAAGAAAAAATATATGAATATAATCAATACTTCTATTATCCAATGTTAGGTGTATCACTTATCATAACTATTTTATATTGGTTTATCAAAGAACCAGACTCATTGTCAAAATCAGTTACCAAATAAAGTATTGATTTATAATAGAAATTAAATGACCATTTATATGGTTCATATATGAATGATGATAATACTAAGATTAATACAAATAATAATGAATATATCAATCAATTTAAACTAATTTGGAAAATACCAAAATTGTACCCATAATTTGTATATCTAATTCCTACAATCATATCAATTGGAATGTTTACTGCCTTTAGTGTTGTTTATTCATAAGATATGATTGAACCTAATTATACAAATGTCAATTATTTGAAATAAGACATAGTTGCCAATCTAAGTATTCATGGAATTGGTTAATTTTTGGGAGGAATTCTTATAGGATTACTTTCATATTCTTATGGATACTTGAATTTGTTAATGGTTTTATAAGTTTTTGGAGCTGTAACCTATATATTCTCAGTAAATTGATTGTATTAATTAAGGATTGTTGGTGAAGCAGATGAGATCAATAATAATAAGAATAGTTTAGTTTATACTTTCAATTTTATGTCAGGATTATTAATATCTGCAGTTCAAGTATTGACATTTTCTTATTGTGGATCTGAATATATTGAAAATAGGAATGTACTCTAATTATGTAATTGGATTTATTGTTGGAGTTTCTATTTCTTTACTGTTGTTATGAGTATACCTAATATACCAGGGACTCTCAATGAATATTTAATTATTAGTGTAAATGTATTTGGATCATTTATACTTATATATTGTATATTGAATTTCATATGTTTATGGTTTCACAAAAGGAAATTCTTATAATTACGAGAAAATGAATGAGTGAATATATATATATATATGGTATTAAATATATATATAATAAATAATAATAATTAAATGTACAAGTACAACTTCGAACAAAACACTTAACATAGAATAGAAATCTTAGAATTAAATGATGAGAAGTGTAAATTCAGTTTTGAAGGTGATTTGTCTATTGCAAATGCTATTAGAAGAGTAATGATAGCAGAAGTCCCTGTAAAATTTTGGACTAAAATATTAGGTCATGGCAATTCATTTTGTTGATATTATTGAAAATACTAGTCCCCTATCAGATGAATTTCTAGCTTAGAGACTTGGTTTAATACCATTAGTTTCATCTGCTGCTGATAGTAAAATGTATGATTGGGAAGCTGATGCTGATTCTATTGATGATCAAAAAACAAAGGTTGTCTTTACATTAAGATAAAAAAATCTAAATGATGCTCCCTTAGAAATTACAAGTTAACATCTTGAACCTGAATTTGGATAAGTAGGTGAAATGGCAATTAGACCTGTTAGAATGTTTTCACCTATAAATGGAAAAGAAGTTGGAATACCTATTACTAGATTAGGAAAGAATCAATCTGTTCATGTTCGTTGTCATGCACTCAAAGGTTTTGGTAAAATGCATGCTAAATGGAGTCCAATTAACATTGCAACATTTAGACATGAAGCAGGTAAATATATCATTTTATATATATATAGAAATTAATATGGATCAATCCTAATTATAATCCCTGTCACTTTCTGAAAAAAATGCAATTAGAAATTCTTGTCCTATGAATGTTTTTGCTATGGATGCTAATTAAGATCTTATTGTCAATGCTATTGAAAAGTGTGTATTTTGTGAAGAATGTATTCGTAGTGTAATTATATTTATAATAATAATTAATAGGCTGAATCTATGAAAAAACCAAGATTGATCAAAATGCAACATAAGAAAAATAAATATATTTTCACTGTTGAAAGTGCAGGCTAATTAAAAGCTGCTGAAATAGTATAAAAAGTAAATTAATATTAATTATGTAGGCATTGATTGTTTTAAGAAAGAAGGTTGATGAAATATCTTAAGATCTTGATATTGCCTAATAATAACAGAATTGAAAATTAATTTTATTATTGTCTAGTATATATTATATATATAATTTAAATGAGTCTATAATTAGTTCCCAAAAATAAATTTTACATCAAAATAATTATGCTGTCGTGTGTCTCATTAAATTCTAAAGACAGTTTAGAAGAGTTTCTATAATTGTATTAATGTAAAGATTCAAAGAAAAAAACTATTTTGAAAAGAGAACGAGACATTGTTCAATACTTAAAAGGTCTAGGTCTTTAAATGAAAACTGACCCACTATCCAAACTATAACGTATAGCTAAGTAAATCATCCATACAAAATAGTTTTGCAATTTAAAATGATATATCACCTGATTCAAATGATGAAATTGTCCTAGAGAGAAAATAATTGAATGATAATGACAATGAATTTAACATTTCTAATAATCCTTTACTTAAAAGAGGTAGTCGAAAGATTATACGTACCTTCTCTTTTGAAGATAAGGATTAAATACTAAATGAAGATATTCAATCACATCATTTTGACTGATTAACTATATATGTTAAACATTTTTTATGGGCTATAATAATTCAATTAGATTCTAGAATGATTTAATTCTTTAATACATTTTATAAAAATTCCGATTTGGATAAATATATAATGATAAGAATTTGCTAAGGATTAATAATTCTTATTAATAAATTCAAAAGTGTGATTTAACTTTTTTTTAATTATAGTTCTCTACAATAATATCAAATATAAGAATTTAGAATATAGAGCTAATTACAAATATTATTAATTTACATTTTCTTTCAAAGATGTATATGATAATATTTATAACATCAAAAATTAATTCAAATCCATATTTTGTAAAAATGAATAAAATTAATTTTTATATACATTATGATTTGCAAAATTGAATGCTAAATCCATAAAGGTGAAAAATTATCTGCTATTTGTGTGGATTCTTATTGTGTTGCCAATACTTAATGTTGTCCTCTATGTATCAAAGAATTACATAATGTCCATGAACATAAAGTTGTGTCTCTAAATTCTTTATAATCATTTATTTCTAATCAAGAAAACATTAAAAAACAAAATCTTGAATTTACATCTGTTAAATAACAATTAATAACCAATAGACTCTAATTAGCAGAGCTCACAGAAATGATTGATGCCAAAATTGAAAAACTAAACAAAAATTAACTTAATTTCAATTTATCAATCGATTAACTGATGACTCTAGATTCAGAAGAATTACCAGTCCTTAAAATTTTACTTAATCAATATGAAATTCAAAATAATACAATCATAGGAATCGATGAACAAATCAAATAGAAGATGGAAATGCAAATCTCTTAATTACTCACTTAAATCAATTTTTTAACTACTGAGTACACTAAAAAAATCAAATAAAATCTTTCCAAGCTTTCAGTAGAGTAATTTAAGGAAGAACTGAAATTTTCAGAAGTCAATAAACATAAACATATACAATTAAATGAAGGTAGAACAGCTACACTGACATAATAAATAGGATATGCTGTCATTTATAGTGAATAAAGCTTTGATCCTTCAAAAGAAAGCTTCAAATGCTCTTTCTTAATTAATGTAATCTATAAATTTCTATACTTTAGAAACTATCATATGGTTTAGTTGGATTTGGCTCCTTAGAAGCTAGCAAGTAAATGCATTATTAAATTTATGATTTCTCCAAAGGACATGGTTTCTATGCTCTTCATAACACAGGTGTCATTTATCATAGTGATGATACAACCGTCAATAACACCAAAATCAAACCTCTTACATTTGATAAGGCAGATTCTATTGTTTGTTACTATGATGCTTAATCATAATCATTTACATTCTTTAAGGAATCAAATAAAAATGAAAAATACACAATGAAACTTAATGATTAATCTAAGAGATTATACCCAGTTGCCATTCTTTTTGGTCCAGGTGATTCTATATCATTTATTTGAATGATATATAAATATTTTATTTTATTTATAATTAAGAAATTATAATAATTAATAATTGTATTATCAGGTTCCTATATGATCTAAATTTATCTAATTATTGTATTTGAAGATTAATTTTAGTTCAAATTAAATATATCCACTTATTAATTTAATAATATATCTGAAAAATTTATTTTTAAATACTTTATCTCATTGGATGATAATATTGTTCCATCATTATTAAATATCTTAATATTCCATCTATTCTATACTTATTGTATATACTATTATCTTTATTTAATTTATATTTTATAATTTTCAAAAATAATATATTTTATAAACCTAAAACATTCTAATAATATATGCTTTATTTCTATTATTATATTATATTCATTCTATAATATAAAGATTTATTATTAATATATTGTTTTTAAGTATATAATAAATCTAATAAACTATCAATAATATATTTTTATTCTCTCTTATATTTTGATATTATTATGCAATTTGATATTAATTATTGGACATGTGTTCACAATTTATTTCTATAATAGTGTAATTTTAGAATAATCTGTTATAATTATAGTATGTAAATTTCTTTTTTAAAAATTATAAATAATTTATAAGTAATGAATTTACAATAAAATAATTCTTATTTCTAATAACTTTAAATTTTATTTTATTAAAAAGGAAAACAAAAATAAACTAAATTAAATGTTAGGTTTAGATATTTGATTATCTAATAATTCTCAAATTAGCAAAATATTATAAATAATATAATGAACATCTTATATTAAATTTATTAGATTTTTTAGATATTATTATTGGATAAAATAATTAAATGGATACTATAGTTATGATTGGGAATGAGAATTATTTAATTAATTAATTTAGATCTATTTATTATCAATGAGAATAGTAAATTAATATATATATATTATTATTTTTTATATATTAATAATTAATACAAAATGGGATAGTTTTTAGGGCATTTACAAAATGCATAACCTCCCCAATCAAATCCATTACTTAATAATTCAATATCAAAATTACGTGAGTATCATGGGTCTTTTTAATCTGTTTGTGATACATTTAGTATAGATTTGACAGAGTTCGAATAGATATTTGGGAGTAATGAAACAATGTTTTAAATATGGGATACAGACAATAATGGGTATTATAGTTAAGTATATGTTTAGATTGATCAATGCATTGGAATTATTTTCAGGTTTGATCATTTTTGCAGAGAGTAATTTTGAGGAAAAGGCGCGATTTTTATTTGATCTATTTGATTTTAATGAATTGAATTCTTTAAGTTTAGTATGAATTATGTGATAACTTAAGATTGATTTAGATTTTATGTTATTGTCATGTGCAAATGCTACATTCAAAATAATGCAAATAAATAATGAAGTAAATGAGGAAGAAATCTCAGATTTCTTAAGTAATTTTTTTTCGGACAATTAAAGGGTAAATATAAGTTAATTTTTGAAATGGTGTGTGAAGACAGAAGAAATTAGATAATTTTTATAATTAATAAAAAAGGAAGCTCCTGAATTGAAAGTAACAGCATAGATGGAATAATTAAGTTAGAAAATTGATGTTCTAAGATAAGTATCTAATAAAGAGTTTAGAAAGAAACTCTTATTACCAGATTCTAAA